ATTCCTGTTATTGTTATTGTTAGCCCCAGTATTTTTCCTTCTTTTTAGTATTGTATTTCTTCGTTGTTTATCCTTGAAATGTGCATGATTTTCAGTTTCTGTGTATTAGTTTTTATTTTCCATTTCTTCTCGTAATTATTGATTTGTATTACGATGCGAGCTGTTTTTAATGCCATCCTCTGTTTGGCCTTGCCTGGATGGCGGATGATCTGGGTGACATCATCAGCATATGCAATGTATTCACCGTGAATTGGTGGCGGCATATCTAAAGTGTAGATTGTAAAAGAGTTGGGGATAAGTTATTTCCTTGTGGTACTCCACTATAAAGTCTGAAGCTTGGGCCTTTGTGATTGCCTATTATAATGTGCGCTTCTTCATGGTCTAAGAAATTACAAAGAAGAGAGGTGAAGTTGTTAGGGAGTTCTTGACCTTATCGAACGCTTTTGCCACATCCCTTAAAACTACGTTGCACTGTTCTTTATTATGCATTGCGTTTGATATACTTTCGTATATAAGGGCTGTGGCTGTGTTTGTTCCTCTGTTTCCTAAATCCGTGTTGTCTAGGGTTGTATTTGTATTCCAGTTCCAGGTATGTTCTTAATCGATGGTTAATTATTTTCTCTAAAATTTTTCCCGGAGTTTCTAATAGAGATATTGGTCTGTAGTTTGCTACTGCTGTGGGGGCTTTTCCTGGTTTTGGTATCAGTCTGATAATTGCTGGTTTAAATTTCTTTTGGTAGTGGCCTGAAGCTATGGATGCATCGAATATATTTCTTAGAAGAAGTGCCATGTTGTTTGGTAATTGCTGTAAAATGAGTTTATTTATTTTACTGACTCCAGGAGCCTTGTTCTTAAAACTGTTGATTGTTCTTACTATTCCGTCCACTGTGACTGGTTTGGTTTGTGGGGACATGTCATCCAGTGTATTCAGATCGATCGTGGGGCCTGGTTGCCAGATGTGGGTTATTTGCGACATACTGTATAGTTAGATACTTCCCTCTCTGTGATCATGCAAAAGTTTAAGTTTTCTTCGTTGGTTATTTGAAAGATCTTACCCCAGAAAGATCTAATGTTTGGGTGGTTGTTAGTGGCGTCAAGTAATGGTCGTTTGCATTCCAATGGTCGTCAACAATTTAGGACAAAGGCTGGCTGGCTGGCTTTGGCAGTGAAGGGTTTTGAGAGAGGTCCGATCACGGCGAAGGCTGGGCGAATGAGTGATGCCTCGTGGAAGGTTGTTGTTGTTGTTGAGATTGTCGGACCAGAACCGACACGGGCCTTTGCCTATAGGCGGCCCGTTTGGTGGTTCCGGCTGGAGCTCCAGGAGCAGCCAGACCGGATTGGGATTGGAGGTGGTCCCACCTGCAGATTTGGAAGGATACTGCAGGTTGCAAGTGTGAGTCGTGGAAGGAGCTGCAGGCTCCTTATATTGGAGATCTCAAGCCGGAAGATGTCACAAATCTGAGTGTGACTGGCCAGGTGACAGGTGTACTGGCTGGAGGGTAGCTTCTTGAGTAACTCGGTCATGTCGCCGGGTTAGCTAATGATGCTGTGGTGAGAATTCTGGATCATTGTGACCATGACCTCTCTTGGGTCAGGTCTTAATCTTACCTTTATTACGAAAGGTGAGTCAACTTACAAGGGTGGACATACCTGCGCTTCCGGTCACTGCTATATGTGCTGTTCTTCTCTGGGCTGTGAGCTATGGTCTGATAAGCAATCATTACACTGTGGTAGGGAACTCGCTGCTGATTGGCTGAAACGAGGAGGCGGAGAATTTGTAGGGAGAGTTTAACAGCTACACTACCTCACGCCTAAATCTAAATAAGTCTAATTTAAAACCATTGCTACGAGTTCGCTCCTAATTGGATAGTTTAAGTACCTTTGTTATATAACTGTTTAGTTTAACCCTGCATCTGCCATTTTTCAGACCATGGGAAAGTTTTAGATCTTCCTGTAGATTTGGAGAGTCGTCTTCAGATTAACTATATGACCTATTTTAGTGTCGTCAGCAAATTTACTTATGTTGCTGTCTACGCCTATATCTATGTAGTTTATGAATATACTAAATAGTAATGGTCCAAGAAATGAGCCTGGGAGGGGGGGTCACATGGTCATGCCCCCCTTTTCTCACCACTGCTACTACTCCTTTGTAGTTTCTTTCCTTGAACGATGGAAAGCCTCTACAATAGGGTGTGATAGCAGTTAAGGTAAACTAACGGAAAAGGTCTGTTGCTATAACTTACATAAAGCAAATACAGAGTTGATTTGTTAGTTTTATATTTATTTATTATTGTTTTATTTTTTATTTTCTTATTTGCAGAGAATTTGGCACATATCTAAACATCAAAACATATTCTGGCAACACTTCCTGTGACAACATTTAAAAGTGAACGCTCATTCAGCTGCCTAAAGTATCTGAAGTCGTATCAGCGTTCCACTATGTCAGAACAATGACTGAATGGATTAGCTTTATTGTTTGTCCACAAAGATATGGAACTGAATTGCGATGAGGTCATCAATGAATTTGGTGTAAGGGCAGATTATTTGACTTAGGACTTCACAAGTAAGCTGATACTATGTTCTCTCGCTCTTCTCCAAAACTAAACTAGTTCTCTCTCCACATGTAAACTAGTAATTTCTCCACATGTAAACTAGTACTCTCTTCACATGTAAACTAGTTCTCTCTTCACATGTAAACTAGTTCTCTCTTCACATGTAAACTAGTTCTCTCTTCACATGTAAACTAGTTCTCTCTCCACATGTAAACTAGTTCTCTCTCCACATGTAAACTAGTTCTCTCTCCACATGTAAACTAGTACTCTCTTCACATGTAAACTAGTACTCTCTTCACATGTAAACTAGTACTCTCTCCACATGTAAACTAGTTCTCTCTCCACATGTAAACTAGTTCTCTCTCCACATGTAAAAGTACTCTTTCCACATGTAAGCTTGTACTCTCTCCACAGAAAGCTAATACCCTCTCTCCACAAGATAGCTAGTACTGTTCTCTCTCTTCACAAGTAAGCTAGTACTGTTAGTTCTACTCTCTATCTATCTATCTATCTATTAACTCCATTGCCAAGTACAGTACTTAATTTTGAAACAATCTTGAAGAGAAAAATATGTTTCTTTTTAACATGTATGTATAATTTGCTAAGGAACTTTTGTGTTCTATGAATGTAATTGCCTGTACACTATAATTTGTTTTAGAAGTTTCCAAAAATGCATTTTTTTTACGGGGATTAGTCCACCAGGCACAGGTCACTGACCCACATCAGCCTGGGGCGAAATATAATAATAATAATAATGATAATAATAATAATAATAATAATAATAATAATAATAATAATAATAATAATAATAATAGTAAATAAAGTAATAGTAATAATAATAATAAATATGAACCATAAATAATACAAAAATAAAAAATACTTCAAGAGTGAGAAACGACATACTGTACGTTATGTATGTTGTGTTATCAATAGTAAGAGAAACAATTGAGACCCTGCAGTTGTTTAAATGAGGCAGAAAGTCAGATGAGCAACCTGGGACTTGGTCACAATTTTTAGATGCCATATGGCAGCAGGGTCTACCATTAGACAACACATTATGCTTCCAATATCTTCCTAGACTGTAGTACCTCCCTGTTTGGTAGCTGCCTCATACCTACTACCTCATTTTACTGTTATCTAAATAAAATATGCTTACTAAAAAGGTGAATGAAAAATAAAAAGGGTATCCTTTTACATAGTCTGATCGTGAAACTCATGAGACTTGCTCGCCCCCCCTCCCCATTTCCATGAACATACATAACATACTGTACTGTACATACCCCAATCGGAACTATAGAGTGCGGGGTCGCGATGACCCTTGGAAGATTTTAATGACACTTTTTCAATAGTAATTATTCGCTAGCTAGGGGTTTTCGAGGCGCAGTTTTGGTGTTTATATGATTCTGGAAGTACTGAATTAGTTAAAACTTTTAAATTCCAATACCGAGAGAAAAGTGTATAGACTTTTCTCTCTGAATTGGAATTTAAGGGTTTTAACTATTTGCTACTTCCAGAATAACAAAAACACCAAAGAATTCGAGTGGTTAATCTCAAGGTGAAAGCAACTGGAGTTAATCTTCAGGTGATCCCATTCCAAACTTTATCGCCGCTGAAAAATCCGGATAATCTAATTTAATAACAACCAGTACAGAGTCTTACTACGAGTGTGAGCCGTGTCGACCAGGAGCATGACAGCCCACAACACTACCACCGTGTACCTCGTCATCGTTACTGATTGACGGACACTGCACTGTTCCCGACTTTCGAGTGTGACCGAAGAGGCATGCGTTAGTAAGTCATGGTGAAATCGGGAGATAAGTACTGTACAGTACTTAGTAGTTCGTAGTTATGATGGGATGTTTCCGATTTTATTATTAGGATCGGGATGTGTCGTCAGATTTTAATGTTTGGAGACGCAATCAGGTTTTTACAATCCCGGGAGAAACGTCTTTGTCACAACGACATTGGTGAATGATTTGTCATGTCTCGACGATTAAAAAACACATCAGTTATACTCACAAACTTTTTCTCTCAGTCTCAATTCCATTGGCTTAGGTCTAGCAAAGCCAGTTGTCAGAACAAGCTTAACTAAACACAGGTGTGTGAGGTCACCTGTTACTGCAGTGGTAACTCTCTCTCTCCAGTAAGCCCATGCTAATATTAGTTCTTTTCAGGAAAATCCCAAACCAGCCAAAAACACTGGCCACCCTTTGTAAGAAGTCATGCACAGCCCTACGACGAGGGAGTTGTACTGATCATCTGAAATCGAGAATTCATAAACATCATCTTCGTAACAACGATTGAAATTCTGTACTATTTCCGATGTACGTGTTTCTCAAGAAATGCATCACTATAATCATCACTGATTCCTTTATTTTTGTTGTCCCTGCGCTTCGTCTGGCAGCGACACACGCTGAGTGAGTGACTCGGGGTCTAGGCGACCTGATCACCTGACACCATCATCAGTAATATCTTGGTTGCTAGTGTAGTACGCATCTCATCACCATCACCTCGTGGCTTAGCTACCAGTCTCACCATTACTTGACGTATTTTTCACCACAAAGACAAACTGGGGCATTTGTCAAGTTGACAACGTGTTTTGAATCGTTGAGACCTGACGAATATCGGTGCGATTTAAAAGACGCTTCTCCCAGGATTACAAAAAACCTAGACACAATCATCTCCCTTCAAATACTGAAATCTGACGATACATCTCTTCCCTAGTACTAAATTCTTACGACACATCTCTCCAAATACTAAAATCTGACGACACATCTCTTCTACAATACTAAAATATAACGACACATCTCAACATTAAAATCTGACGACACATATCCCTCCTAATACTAATATCTGAAACATCCCATCATAACTACGAACTAAGTACTGTACAGTACTTATCTCCCGACTTCACCATGACTTACTAACGCATGCCTCAGCATCACCGGGTCCTGACGACACATCTCAGCATTACTCGGTCACACTCGAAAGCCGGGAATAGCGCACAGTGTCCGTCACCAGTAACGATGACGAGGTACACGGTGGTAGTGTTGTGGGCTGTCATGCTCCTGGTCGACACGGCTCACACACGTAGTAAGACTCTGTACTGGTTGTTATAAGATTAGATTATCCGGATTTTTCCAGCGGCGATAAAGTTCTGAAGTAAGGATCACTTGAAGATTAGCCTCCAGTTGCTTTCACCTTGAGATTAACCACTCGAATGCTAACCTAACCTAATCCGTCAGGTAGTATTGGGATGTCTAGCAATCAAGTAAAATAACCCGGGAGGCTAATTTTCAGGTAAGACAAAGGTAATTCTGAAAAGGATCACATTTGCTCTTGTAATCTTCTTTGAGCAGGAAAGTTATTGAGAAAATATTGTCCATAATAAATACGTATATGAAAATATCGCTCGTAATTTAACCAATAGCCATAGTAAGTCAGTGAAGAATGGAATGAGAAGCTAACATGTATTAGTAAATGAGCAGGGGATATTTGATAGGTATCTAAAATGAAGCTAAGTACTTTTTGCCACAGAAAAATCTACAAATTTTATTTAGTTTCAAACCATTAGAAAAAATCGATAAAATAGAAATAATACAGTTCAGTTTTTGTAGAATTAAGGATACAAGGAAGATAAAATGAGATAACATTCTTAAATCAACTTGTTAAGAAAACTAACACTTTAATGTTTAACAGGTATAGGAAGTTAAAAAAAATGTTGATCTAACCTAATCTACATTATTTATGTCTACGAGAGAAGTGGCACATCTTCGAGTATCAGAAGGCGATTAAAGATAGTGATAAAATATTCAACATTTAAATGACCGTGTAATGCCCAAAGGCATCCTGACCAGAATCCCATTAAATTATATTAAAATCATACACAATCCCTGCTGATCCTGGTCAGATAACCACTTCATAGTAAATCGTATCGTTTCTGTTAATGTTAACGTAAACTGAGACAAGTGTGCATATTTGGTGAAGAGGATAAATGAAAAGGAAAAGTAATCAGAGACGTGACCGATCGCCCAAGCAGCTAACGAGCCGATCAGTGGCGAAGAGGATAAAAATAAAAGTAAAAAAGTGAAGGTGAGGCAGACTGGGGGGAAGACCCGGACCTTCCCCGACATTATTATGTGCGGAGATAGGCACTTCCGCCGAGTGTGAGGGACTTGGGAGATAGTGAGTTACTTCCGCACTCCTTTCTCACTTCACCTGCTGCTCTCAAACAACACTATACCTGCTGCTCACAAACAACACTATAACTGCTGCTCACAAACAACACTATACCTGCTGCTCACAAACTTCGACAAGAGACATAAGGGCGTTATCTCAATGACGTAAATTGTCCAGCAGAAGAAAAAGATGAGGAGAACAAGTTGGCAATATTAATTATTAATTATCAACAACACTGTCACGCTGGCAAGTTTTAAACACAGGTTGGACGGATACTTGAGTGATAATGGTTGTGTGTAAACAGGATCAGCCATTACACTATCTTGTATTCTTAATACTTTTCTACTAAGGATTTTATTGACCTAAATATAGTAGACAAGTTGAAAACATTTGCAAAGGAGAATAAAAATTTTATCTCAAATTGTTAAGTTTTCTTCATAATTGACAGACTTGTAATGCGAGTACAAAGACGTGAGTACCGAGTACAGTGTAATGAGTCCGAATATCTGAGAATCGTCTCATATCTGAGGGTTGGCGAACGCAGTTCCTCACTCTCGACCATCTTCATCAGTCACCCTCAACCAGTATTGAAAATTTATTTTCGGTTGCAACCTGCCCTCAATAGGTCTTGGTTCGGGTTACTGAATTTCTGAATCTATCTTGAATTAAAATGTAATCTATTTGATTTCGGACTATGCTGTTTACATTGTCCTGGGATGAGACCCATGTATAGAGATGCCTAGGGTGTTGTTCAAATCATGTATTTGCAATTATCATCTTGTTTTCCTTACAAAAGTCGATAATATTTCTTCTCAATTCTATTACCCAACCCATTGTAGTATCTTACATTATTTAATGGGAGAAGGAGAAGCCACATGCTGACTCTTACTCAGATGGTTTATTGTTGTTGTTGTACAATGTGCCTAACACATTCGTGATTACACAGGCCTAAACACATTCTAACTTTGGTAAGAAGTACCATAATATATAATGTATATATAATTAATAAAGGCAGCATATAAACACACACACACACACATATATATATATATATATATATATATATATATATATATATATATATATATATATATATATATATATATATATATATATATATATATATATATATATATATATATATATATATATATATATATATATATATATATATATATATATATATATATCACTATTTCTCCCTCTCAAAAAGAAAGCATGGTTGCTACAAATCCTAAATAAACAAAACTTACAGAATTGCATATGGCAGGGAAGAAGAGAATAGAACACAAGAAATATAACTTCCTGACTAAACAGTTTTGAAAGGCCTGTTCACAATTCAGATAATCAGAGGTCAAATTTCATTACAGGTCTCCTAACTCTGTTTGATCTTCTAGGACTATTCCCTCCATCAAATTTTACAGGGGGCTTAACTTGCAATTTGTGCATTATCAATGACAGACGTATCACCACTACAGTCAGTTGACACAGTGAGTGGACGCTGGGAAACATCATCTTTGACCTCATCATCATACTGATCATCTGCAACTGTGTCAAGTTTATCGTCATGTTCTGGTGCTACATTCATCTCGTCATGTGCCTGAATGATGTGATCCACATGAACATATATCAAAGAGTTACCACATGTCCTAAATATGTCCTAGGTCCACATACCTTGTCAATGACATCAGTTAACCACTTTGCATGTACAGTGCCATAACCTTCAGCCATAAGCTCAATACCCAAAAGGCTTC